TATCTTGGGGGGCAGAAAACAGCTATTTGTGTACAAATACAATTGCTTATTATCATTGTGTGACAATGTCTAGGGAGCCCTGGTGGCCTAGTGGTAGGAAGATGTGCTGCAATCACAAAGGCATGCAGTTCAAATCCACCAGCTGCTCTGTGGGAGAAGGATGGACAATCGCCTTCCATGCTATTTACCGCTTCTGCAAACCTGCTGGAGGGTCACCTATGAATCAGTTCCAACTCAACAATACACAGCAACAACATAATACTGTCATAACAAAATATCACAGTGAGTGCTTTTTTAAAACCCTTGAGTGATTAGATTGTGTTGGTCTTGTTGTTAGGAGCTTTTGAACTAAGTACAGCTCATAGCAACCCTATGAACAACAGATCTGTAAAAGTTTAGGTCTATAAATCTTTACATCTTATTAGCACAGCACTTGTCTGTCAGTTTGCTCTACTCGGTTAACTTGTGGGTAGCTGTGATTGTGGATTAGGTTTAATACCCACCCTCAAACAAGTCAAACGGCCATGCTTTCCCCTAAGATTATAATTAGTGCCTCAAAGCAGGGATAAGACGGTCTCGTTAGGCATTCTCCAGTTCCAAAGCACAAAACATATGAGAAGACAGAGGGGACCTAGAGTGAAATGACAGAGACTGTGACTTTTCCTTCTCTTTGAAGAAGTACAGCCTGAAGACTCCTCAGAAGGACGATGATTCCACATTCTAAGTATTTTGCGCTGGTTATGAGGAGGGCCAGACCTTCGACAAGAACATCATTCTGGGTAACGCAGAAAGCCAATAAAGAGAGAAAGCCTTTCTGTGATACCTCAGGGGCTGCAACAAGCATCACAACAATTGTGAGGAGAATTAGGGACCAAGTAGAGGCTTGGATCTATCATTCACAAGGTCGTTATAGCCAGAACCAAATAAACAACACCTAACAACAATAATGATCTATGTCATGAAAATGTCTTTGGCTTTTATTAATAAAGGGAGTTACTGAATTTTTTCCACTAAAAACAGCAATCTAAAATACAGAAGTTAGTGGGGAACCACATTAGTCCCCCCACTGCAAGATTTTAAGGCATTATTTCTAGCTATCTGTTACAGGGAGGTATACTTTATAATAGCTAGAACAGTACATCAACAGAGAACCACAAGAAATTCAAGCTGGATTTAGAAGAGGTATATCATTGCAGATGTCAGATGGATCTTGGCTGAGAGTAGAGAATATCATAAGGACATCTATTTGTGTTTTATTGACTATACAAAGACTTTGACTATGTGGATCATAACAAACTATGGCTAACATTGAGAAGAATGGGAATCCCAGAACACATATGTATTCTAAATCTATACTTAGACCAAAAAGCTGTAGTCCAAACATAGGGAACATTGCATGGTTTAATGTCAAGAAAGGGTGTGCATCAGGGTTTTATCCTTTCTCCAAACCTAGTCAATTTGTATGCAAAGCAAATCGTTAAAGAGGCTTGATTACATAAAGAAGAATGTGACATCAGGATTGGAGGAAGACTCCTCAACCTGCATTATGCAAATTGCACAACCTCGATTGCAGAAAGTGAAGAGGCTTAAAGCACTCACTGAAGAAGATAAAAAGATTCCAGCCTTCAACATGGAGTACACATCAACATCAAGAAAATAAAAATTCCCACCAATGCACCAATAGGCAACATCACGAGAGGTGTAGAAAAGATTGAGGTTGTCAGTGATTTCACCTTGCTTGACTCATGGTAGCACTGATGAAGACATCAAAGGATGGGGAAAATCTGCTGGCGAAGACCTCTCCAGGGTGCAAAAGAGCAAGGACGTCAGTGTAAGACTGAAGTGCACCTGATCCAAACCATGGTCGTTTCAATCACTTACTGCACATCTGAAAGCTGGACAATGAGCGAGCATGGCAGAAAAAGATCAGTGCCTTTGAGCGGTGGTGCTGGAGACGAGCACTGACCAGCCCACGGACGGCCAAAAGAACAAACTGGATGAAATATGTTTACGGCATTGAAGTCTATGGGGGAGAGAATAGTCTAAAAGTATTATATTTTAGGGCATTATTTTTATCGTAGGAGTACGCAATGAGGGTTGCAGAGTGGATTATATTTGGGGGTAGGGGGTGGGGTTTGGGGAGGTGCGAGGGGATTGTGTACCACTGAGGGAGTTTTTCTTTTGCTTTTCAAGGAGAGGAGCAAACGGGGGTGGGGGTGGGGGTAGGGGTTTCTGCGGGGGAAAAGGGTGCAGCAATGAATGGATGGAATTCCAAAATCTCTGTAGATGTTCATTGAAATGAAAAATAAACAAACTAAATTAATTTAAAAAAAAAACAAAACATGAAGGAAAAAAAGAACAAACAAATATGTTTTGGAGGAAGTGCAACCCAGATGCTCCTTAGAGTGCAAGGATGACGAAAGTTCATCTCACATACTTTGAGAATGTTGTTAAGAGGGGTCAGTCCTTGAAACAAAAGCATCATGCTGGGAAAGGAAAAGGGGGGTTGGTCAGAGAAAGAGAGGAGGCCCCTCAACAAGATGGGTTGACACAGTGACTGCCTCAATGGACTCGGGTATATCAGAGGTGATGAGGATGGCACAGGTTCAGATCCATTACTCACTGGGTCACGATGAGTTGTCGGTGCCAGAACGGCACACCAGCAGAGAGCAATCACTTTATAACAGCTGTATTTCAGATAAATACATATCGAGTATACGTTGTTGCTGTGGTTAGGTACCACTGAGTTGGCTCTGACACATAACTGAACCCATAGCTTGGTTTTGGGGTTTTTTTTCAAGTAAGCAATTAGGACAGATATTTAGCTAATTGAACTCATCTTTTCTAATTAGTTTTTTATTTAAAAAAATTGGTTCAGCATAAATTAATAGAAGAGATCATTACTAGTTCTAAACAATTGTGAGAGAGAACGCGTCAATGGAAGGAAGCGTGCACATGGCGGTTGAGAGCGTGGGTGTCACTAAGAGAAATTCAGAAAGTTCAGCTGAAAGATACCTCAACGCTTTCAAGTCTAAGAAACCACCTCGCGCGGCCTCTCGATTTCTAATGAAGAGTTCTGATACAGGTTGGCTTCAGTACCACGGCCTGGTCTTTAACAAGGCTTTGCTCACGCACACTCATGTATATGCAGCTTTGTTCACAATAGCAAGGAGTTGGAAACAACCTAAGTGCCCGTCAATAAATGGAGAGAGAAGCTGTGGTATAGTCACACAATGGAATACTACGCTGCATTGAAAAACAAGGAACTCATGCAATATTATCCAAATGGGTGACCCTGGAAGACATTATGTTGAGTGAAATATGTTAGTCACAAAGGGACAAATACTGCATAGTGCCACTGATGTAAAACAGGACTGACATCAGGGTTGAGGGAAGACTGAGAAAGATGAGATAAATAATGTATAGTGCATTGAAACAGATGGGGGGGAAACTGTTTAAAAGGGATATGTGATTAGGTATTATTGTCATGACAGGAGTGCAGAATGAAGGCTGCATAGTGGAGTGGACATGGGGGGAGGGATTATAAAACAATGGAGGAACTTTTACTTTTCAAAGAGAAGAGTGCACTGGGGGGGGCAGGGAGAAAAGTGCAACAATGAATGAATGGAAATCCAAAGTCTCTGTAAATTTTTATTAAAATTAACTAAAAAAACCCACAATGCTTTGCTCCAGGTTTGCCAAAGCATCTCTCCATCTTGGTATCCTGTGAAGGTCTGTTATTTTCTGAGTAGATGTTCTCATAGAATATTGTCTTTTAAATCAGATTATCTCTTCTATAGTGAAAGCATTTTTATGTTTTCTAATTTAAAAAGCTGGAGAAGAGCATTGAATGGACTGCCAAGAAAACAAACAGATTCATCCTAGAGAGGGTTAAACCAGGCTGCTCCTTGGAGGCAAGGATTCTGGGGCTTCATCTGACATACTTTGGACATGTTATAAGGAGGCACCAGTTCTTGGAGAGGGACATCATACTTGGGAGGGTGGAGGGACAGCGCAGGAGGGGAAGACCCTCTATGAGGTGGATTGATTCAGTGACTGGGGTAATCGGGATGGGTGTGTCAGAGGCAATGAGATTGGCACAGGTTAGAGCAGGGTTTAGGGCAGTTGTACATAGGGCCGCTATGAGTCGCAAATGGCTCAACGGCACATAACAACAACAATTTAAAAAGTAATATTTTCTTAATAGTTAACTGTGCGATAAAGGTGAAGTAGGATGTGTGGTTTTTGCAAGTGCTTTAACGGCTGATAAAATTTTATATTTGTAAGATTAATATATTGTACTGGTACAGAATAGTTTTAAATTATATTTTTAAAAACTTTAAAAAAAAATAAATAAATTGGTGTATCTGAGAGCTCCAGGTGGGTTTTTACTTCTTTTGTGGTAGACAGACAGAAGGAACTCAAACTCACTTCTGGGAAACACAGGTTTATTTATTAGCCAAAGTTCAAACAACTTCAGAGCGACTAGGTGAGAGCCCAGGTCAGGACAATTTGATTAATTGCCTAAAGTTGGTTTCAACTGGCAGATCCCGAATCCAGAGGCTGAGAAGGCATATTGTGCAGCAAGTACTCATACCATTAGGTAGCAGCTGACGAGCAGCCAGGAGGTTGTCTGGATGCGAAGTCTCCAGGAGGAGACCCTGCTTACATCCACGCATTGGCCAAACCCCCATCTGCTCACGGTTCCAGTGACAAACACTTGTTTGCCATCCCTGTAGAGCAACCAGGCCTGGGCCCCAGTGCAGTGGTGCTGCACACACACCTCGGAGGGTCTAGAGTCAGTAAACTTACGATAAGCAAATGGAAAATCATTCTATCAGGAAGGTCAGCACAGATGGGTAGGAGTGGCTTGGGAGCTGGCGGGGGAGGCAGGCTGCTTTACTAAAAGTAGTACCTTTAAGAGGAGGTAGAGAACCGCTATACTTGCAGACCTTGAAATCTGTGGACTGCGGACACCTGGAGAGGACAGGAGACAGGAAATGGCCCCCTCTGCCCTCCACGTGCTGAGCCTTCTCTGGGCTGTGGCTGGGACCAGCACCCACATCCGAACCTCATGCTGTGAGTATGGTTTTATTTACAAGCAAGCCGGGGAAGCAGTTAAAGGGGTTCTGGTGAGAAATTAGTTGAAAATTCATTCATAGGGTCTCTATGGGTCATCTACGACTCTATAGCACTCAACAACAACAACAACGAGAGAGCTCATTTGGCCTAGTGGACAGAAAGCGATGTTACCAAGCCAAAGGAGGGTGATTTGAATCTGCAGCCCTCGGGCTTGGTTTTAATTGGTTTTGGTCAAACATTGTTCTAAGTAGTATAGCACTGGTCTGTCCATTTGCTGTACAGAGGTAACTCATGGTTGCTGTGATGCTAAACACTGTGACACTGGTGTGTCCAGTGTGATAATGGTTACCCATGGTGGACAGTGTTTGGTGCCTCTCCCTGACTAAAACAAGCTTGGAAGCAGGGGTGACATCCACTTCCAAAATAGCTTGCCTCCAAAACCTTATGGAGAAATGACGAACGTTATACAAGTGTTCAGGTCTTTCATTCATAGGGTCACAATGAATCGTCTACAACTCGACGGCACTTAACAACAACATAACAAACAAAGGAAGCTCTGGTGGCCTAGTGGCAAGAAGCTGTGCTGCAATCTCCAAGGCACGCGGTTTGAGGCCACTAGCTGCTTCACTGGAGAAAGATGGACAATCTCCTTCTGTGTGATTAACTAAACCGCCTCTGAAAACCCACTACGGTCGGTATACAAAACCATATAACAAACAAACAACTCATTGCTGTCAAGGTGAAACTGGTTTACAGCTGATCCTCCAGTGGGTTTTCAGAGGCTGCCAATCAAAATCGTGGAGATTGCCTATTTTTTTCTCCTGGAGCAGCTGGTGGGTTTGAACCACCTGCCTTTGTGTTGGCATGGCAACTCCCTACCCACCAGGCCACGAGAGTTCCCTGAGCGATCACTATAGAACTTGCAAAGTGGATAGGGTGGGGTATGACTGCGGACTGATCATCTTTGCTGATTTAACAGCATGAGTTGTTTGAAGGGCAAGTCTGTGCATTTTGCAGTACAAGAGACTGGAATACTGGTACAGGAATGCTATCTGATGGCGCCTAGACAGACACTTGGTCACTTTCTGAACAGGTGCCATGCTGATGGGAGCCTTGGAGAGCTACTGAGGACAAGTTACATCCCAAGTCTTTAATATCCTTTCTGAGAGAAAGAGAGAGAAAACACAGGATGAGTGGGAATTCGTGATTTCTAGAAACGTGCTACGGAAAATGTGAAATGCTTCTGAGGCCCTAAATGACAAATACCTTTCTGAAAGATTCAATTGTTTGAAAAGCTGAATAATGCCATGAAGAATCTAGATTATTTTTTTTGTCAACTTCTCTTCATAAGCACCTCAAAGAGCATTCCTAAGCATACCCATGGGAATCCTACATTTTCCTAAAAGGCAGGGAGGAAGTAGAAGGCATGTTTCTGTAAAGAAAGAATAAAGACTAAGGGTTTAATCATTCCTTTTCTCTTTGCTCTCTCAGCTGTTCCTGCGGCCCAACAGCCCCTGGTTAACAGCATTCAAGGGCTCATGGAGAACTCTGTAACTTCATCATCCTTTCCAAACCCCAGCGTCCTCATTGCCATGAACTTGGCTGGAGCCCACAATCGGGAGGTCCAGAAGCTCCTCACACACAGTCTCATGGACAGTGACACCAATGGTGAGACAGACCCTCATTTGCAGAATCCTGTCGATTCTAAGAGCAACAGCAACAATAATAAATTATCTGCTCTGCCTACCTCACAGGAGTTGCCCTGAGGTTCAAGTTACATAATAAAGTGAAAATTATTTTGTAACTACAAGCATCTCATGTGCCTAGTTGTTATGGATGTTGTTGCTGTTTTCTTATCAGACACGAGGAATTCAGGATGGAGTGCTGAGGTTACACAGAGGCTGTTAGATTAGATTAGACATGCTTTAAGTATATTTTTATTATTATTTAGTAAAGATTTAAAAAACTACAACACAAAAGTCTACCTACCTTATTAAATAAACTCAGCTGCCCTCACCAGGAGGCAGGAATCTTGGCCGTGGCCCGGAAGCGCTCTCCCCAGAGCAAGCCTTTGTTCTGGTGTTTGGTCCCCTCTCTCTGCAGATCTAACCACTGGTCAGCTGGCCCTCACCATCATGGCCCTCACCTCCTCCTGCCGAGACTCAGGGACGCGGGTATCGCTTCTACAAAGACAAATGGAGAACTGGGCGCCTTCAAGTAAGATCTCACTGGAAAGGAAGGGAGAACATGGCAAATAGGTCTTTCTGAGATATTCAACCCCAAAAAGGAAAAGACGGGGTGGGAGAGGCATGGGAAGCAGAAAGCGAACAAGGAGACAATATACCCTCCAACCCAGTTCCCCCTCTCATGCACTCCAGTGGAGTATTCCTATCCAAGCCACCGTGAGCCTGGTAAGATCATTACCCAAGCTCACAGTCTTGTCATGCCCAACACTAGCTGGGAGATACCAGATGTTTGTTGTTATTTGTACCATCAGGTTGGAACCAGTCCAAAGCTGACCCTCCTCTGGGTTTTCAGAGCCAGTACATTGCACAGGAAGAGACTGCTCACCTTTCTCCCATGGAGCAGACAGTGGATTCAAACCACGTACCTTTACATTGGTAGCACAATTCCTTGCCACTAAACCACCAGAGCTCCCCTAATTTAGTCCTTTCCAACTTCTAGACCATGTCCTACCTTGCTGGCCTGGCCTGGCCTGGCCTGAGGAGGCCCAAAGCTATCCTTTGCTCATATTACATCTTTATTTTCAGATAGGTTTTCTGTCCATTTCTATTTCAACTTTGGATTTTTCTTTCACAAATGGCATCATAATAATGACTAATGTTGGTCTAATAAGGTTTCTCCCCCTCCAAGGCCCCAACGCTGAAGCTTCATCCTTTTACGGGCCTGGCCTGGCAGTCCTGGCACTGTGCCAACAGAACCCCGAGGCCGCTCTGCCAATAGCCATCCGCTTTGCCAAGTCCCTGCTGGTCAACTCCTCTCCATTCAACACGGGTGAGTAGCCGGGGCTTCAGACACAGTCCTGCGCTGGGGAAATCCAGGAGCATTATGCCCTGAGGTGCTGGAGGAGACTGTGAGTGTGGGGAGGAAGAGCCGAGGACTGTGAGCATGTCTGTCTGCAAGAGAAAGTCAATAAAGACGTGCTGGGAATCTGAATGAAGGAATAAAAAGATGCAAAGGATGAGTGAAAGGACGAGTGAGAGAATTGTTTAAAAGGGATATATGATTAAGTATTATTTTCATGACAGGAGTCCAGAATGAAGGCTGTACAGTAGAGTGGACTTGGGGGGAGGGATTGTATAACAATGAAAGAATTTTTCTTTTACTTTTCAAAGAGAAGAGCAAACTGGGGGAGTGGGGGGCAGGGAAAAAAGTGCAACAATGAGTGTATGGAAATCCAAAGTCTCTGTAAATTTTCATTAGAATGGTTGTTGTTGTTATGTGCCGTCGAGTCGTATGCGACTCATAGCGACCCTATGTACAACAGCCCTAAACTCTGCTCTGTCCTGTGCCAATCGCACTGTCTCTGACACTCCCATCCCGATTATCCCAGTCACTGAATCAATCACCTCATAGAGGGCCTTCCTCTCCTGCGCTGTCCCTCTACCCTCCCAAGCATGATGTCCTTCTCCAAGGACCCTCTCTCCTCACAACATGTCCAAAGTATGTTAGACGGAGCCTCAGAATCCTTGCCTCCAAGGAGCCAGCCAGTTTAACCCTTTCCAGGACGAATCCGTTTGTTTTCCTAGCAGTCCATGGTATTCTCAATACTCTTCTCCAGCACCACAGCTCAAAGGCATCAATTCTCCTTCTATCCTCCTTGGTCATTGTCCAACTCTCTGATGCATAACAAGTGATTGTGAAGACCATGGCCTGTATCAGACGCACCTTAGTCTCCAGAGAGATACCATTGCTCTTCAGTACTTTGGAGAGGTCCCTAACAGCAGACTTTCCCATGGCAATGTGCCTTTTAATTTCCTGGCTATTGGTGCCAAGACTGTTGACTGTGGAGCCAAGCAAACTAAAGCTGTGTACAATCTCAATCTCTTCACCATCCATCCTGATGCTGCCAATTGGTCCAGTGGTGAGAATCTTTGTCTTCTTGACATTGAGCCTCAATCCATATTGTAGGCTGCAGTCCTTGACCCTCTGCAGCAGGTGTTTCAGGTCCTCTTCAGTTTCAGCAAGCAGGGTTGTGTCATCTGCATAAGACAGAATGTTGATAAATCATCCACCAATCTTGACCCCACATTTCTCCTCATAGAGCCCAGCCTCACGGATAATCTGTTCTGCATATAGGTTGAAAAGGTATGGAAATAGGATGCATTCCTGGTGTACGCCCTTCCCAATTTTGAACCATGCAGTGTTCCCTTGCTCTGTTCTGACGACTGCCTCCTGGTTCAAGTATAGGTTTCGCATTAGAACGATCAAGTATTCTGGGATTCCCATTCTTCTCAGAGTCAACCATAGTTTGTTATGATCCACACAGTCAAATGCCTTTGCATAGTCAATGAAACACAGATAGACATTCCTCTGGTATTCCCTGTTTTCAGCCAAGATCCATCTAACATCAGCTACAATATCTCTAGTACCACGACCCCTTCTAAACCCAGCCTGGACTTCTGGCAGTTCTCTGCTGATGTGCTGTTCCAGTCGTTTTTGGATAATCTTCAGTAAATCTTGCTTGCATGTGAAATCATTAGAATTAGTAATAATAAAAAAGTTATTTAAAAAAGATGCAAAGGAGAGATGTCATCTACCAAGTTTCTCATTTGTTCTGGTCTCAATGAGCCAGGCCTTGCTCAGTTGCATACATGTTTATTACTTGCAAACAATAATTAAAAAAAATATATATATAAACCATCTTGTGCTGGATGCTACAGTGATGGGGTGGAGGTACAAGAAGGGGAGCAGGGCACCAAGAAGATACACAAAGCAGTGCTGAGGCAGTGAAGCGGTGCAACTGTCAGATTCTGAAGGACTTCAGAGGAGAGACAGCCACCATCATGCTGGAATGACCGAGAAGGCTTCACTGAGAAGTGGTGAGGACGGAACGGCCGAGAAAGGGTGGCATTCTGAAAACACTTGGACAAGGGAAGCAGGATTTCATGTGATTGCTTGAATATAAGTTGGCAATAATGTTGGAGCTGTGGCCCCATACTGTGGCTTATCAGCCATACAGCCTTGGCCAGGTAGTTAGTCGGAATTCTGTGTCTGTTTCCTCAGCTCCTAAGTGCAGATAACTACAGGTCTTGTTTCACAAGATGTTTCAAAGAGTAAACGGAATATTGCACTTGGTGCCCAATAAGCACACAGTCAGTGTTAGATGTTCACCTCTGTGGTGGTCACTGTCTTATCCCTTCCTATAATTCACAGACACAGGAGCAATTGTGTCCTTGGCTCTGACCTGTATGTACAACAAGCTACCCGTCGGTGCAGAAGAAGGTTACAAAGCCCTGTTTAGTCAGGTTCTCAATAGTATTGTGGCCGATATCAGCACGAGGATCAAAGACAATGGCATCATTGGAGACATCTACAGTACGGGCCTCGCCATGCAGGTAAGCTCAGCATTGACGCTGCTCATTGGGGCCACACCAGTGAGCCGGGGTCACAAGCTCAGAAGACCAGGCTTCTGCTAATATCTTTGGGAAAGATAACTAGTATGACTTGAGTAATAGATTCTTTGTGGACCTATGTCTACTGGTAAAATGTTCTAACTCTGCCCTACCTCAAAGGGAAGTGTGAAAACAAACAAATCCAAGAACTCTTTCCATTTCTTATTAATGCTGATTAATTTGTTAATAATAAGTATGTTGTTGTTGTTGTTGTTGTTGTTGTTGTTATTGTTAATCAGGTGGACAGGCTTTTGTATTTAAAAGTTGGTCTGGTCCTACCTGTGAGTGAGCCTTTAGCTTGGTGTAGTTGGATCCTAGTGGGTGTTTGTGATTGTGTAAAAAGTATGATGGGTCGGGGCGAAAACACAGGGTTGCACAGTTTGGTGGGTGGAGGGAGTGAGTGAAGGAAATGGAAAAGATCCAGCAGGAAACTGAAAAGACAGGTTAATGGTAGGCATAGTTCAATGGTGATTAATTTTATAAAATATAATGAATGGGAATGATTGTATGAAACATAATCTCAATAAAAACTAGTGGGAAACACAATGTATATTAACTTTGTAAGCAAACCAGTAAAAAGAAAACATTTTTGAAGTATGATTTATCAATAATAAGGATAATAAAGTGAATCTTTGAATGATACTGGATTTTCCAAATCAATTTTCAGAAACAGTCAAGTGTTGATTTTCTCAGAGCTTTATCTTGATCCAAAATAAGCCTGACTTGAATTCAAAATAATTCATGAATATAATCTAAACTTGGCTAGACACCAAATATATGTCAGGCTCGTTGACCATCTCTCTCTCATTTCAACCCCTGAATAGTGGGAGTAAAAGGCAGAGCCAGTTCTGTCTGGTAGCCAAGGCCATTCTCTACCCAGTACTCCTCAAGGAAGGAACCCCAGGCTCATACCCTCTAAGCTGCCAACTGCCACAGCTCTAAGTACAAATCACCAGTCGTTAGGGCAGCATGCTACCATGGAAGAAAGGCACATGCACCAGATACAGTGGGAGGAGAACCTGTGGAATCATGAGCTAAAGAGTCATCACCTAGAACGCTGGATTTTAAAGTTTCAGCACCGAACCAGTCTCAGAATGCTGGATTTCAAAGTCTCAGCACTGATCCCATCTAAGAACACTGGATTTCAAAGTCTCAGCATGCCCGACAGAACGTGAGTATGCTCTAGGGCCTCATCAGTTCACAAAGTCCAGGAAAAAGGTCATTACAAAGCCAGCCATAAGCCCTTTAACTCTCCAGTGGAGAAACAGTTGAGCACTCAGCTGCTAACCAAAACATCGTCAGTGTGAACCTCTCAGTTACTCCATGGGAGAAAAACGTGGCAACCAGCTGCTGTAAAGGTGGCGGCCTTGGAGACCCGTGAAGTTCTCCTCTGTCCTCAAGGGTCGCTCTGACTTGGAATCAACTCCACGGCAACAGGTCTGATTGAGACAAATCACTTCCCAATGTAGAAGAGAGAAAGTGGGGACCTATGAGCTATTAAAAGAGAAGAATTAGGGATAAGTATAATAAGCCAGGATTTGATGGCGGGGGTAGGGGTGGTGTTCTGTGCCACCAAGTCAGCCGTAACTCACAGTGGCCCTATGGACAAGAGTACAAAGTATTACCCAATGCTGGAGTATCTTTACTATCTCTGCTGTGCTTAGCTCCTATCACGTATTTTCACTATGTCTACCAACACCACAACCCAAAGGCATCACTCTTTCTTCGATCTCCCTTATTCGCTGTCCAGCCTAGAGCTCCTTTTTGCTGTTGTGTGCCACCGAGTCAGAACCAACCCGGAGCTGACCTTTCATCACTGCACCATCCTCCAGCATCTAGTGGATTAGAACCGTGTACCTATGCAGTGGCAGTGCATTTCCTTACCACTAACCCCCCACCCTCAATCTCTCTGGTTTATGTTAAATATAGAAGGCAATACAAAAATCTTTATGCCATTATCCTAAGTCATCTTCTCTGTAATCATCAATAGGAAATAGCCATAAACAAAAACTATGTTTTCATAGCTGCTGGTGCACTGAGAGTTCCCAGGGTCAGGTCTAGAAAGCTTTGTGAGAGATAAAAGGCAGCCTTGAAAGGATTATGTTTGTGTTTCACTTAAAATAATTAATCTTCAACTTAAGTGCTAGAGAATTGTTTGTTTTGCTAGCCGGGTTTTTCAATTCATTTGGAGTTTTATCACTTGTAAGGTGAAGTCTGATAAGCTGTACCCAGGAATAAGGCTTCTCCTATGAAAAAGTAGACGTCACCCATACCCAGATATCTTAAACGAGGTGAACTTCTGGTCAGTTAGGCAAGCAACTTCCCCCCACTTCTTCTCTGCCCATTCTCAGAAGTTTACCTGGGCAGTATAAAATCTAAGCTCACCAGCTGTGTAGTAGATATTGTTTCAATCCAAGATGTTCCAGTAGAGAAAGCGAAGAGCTGTAATATAGAAAAAGAACAACTTGAACGTGAATTCCACAACTGCCACCATCCTGGGCAACCTTGTTACTGATCTCTCCACAACAAGGTTCCAAATAAAGGCATGAAATGTGATATTAAAACACAACCACAAAAAACACAACAACACACAAACAACAAACCTACAATGACAACAAAACCCCCAAACACAGGCACAATGTGGTGATCAGCAACTGGTGGGTGGTGGTGTTTTTTCATGCTCTTAACTCTTCATTCTTCTCTCAACTTCCTCCTGGACATCAGTGCCCTTCATGTGACCCAGGCCACCCACATCCCTTCACAAGGGCATTCGGGAAGTATTTTCCCTTTTCTGGAATTTTCCTTCCATGCCTCGAATGTTACCTTGATAGGAGGTTGGGAGAAGGGATCTGATACACTCCTTCATGCAAAGTTCTGAACAACTTCTTACAGCTTGATGGGTTACCGAGATACATCTCTCAAGGTGGAAGTTGGGAGGTGATATGGCAAGTGGATCAAGTGTTGTTGCTGAGGAATACCCACCCACTGGACGTCCCTGAGTCCAAACTGTCTCCTGAGGTTGCCTCTGGCCAGAGCCAAAGTTCCCAGTTGGCAAGGTTCATGATGGTCATGCCAGTGGCTCATACAGGTGCCTCCAGTGAAGGGCCATTTTTAAGTCCTTTTCCTCTTGCATTTCCCCTCTTCGGCCATCAGTCACCAGCAATCCAGCTCTTTTGCACACTTTGGTGGCTGTGCATGGTGGGAATTGAAAGGAAGGAGCTGGTGACTGCGGCTTGCAGTTCACACATTACAAAGTCCTTTTACATATCATCTTTCTTGAACCTCAAATAACAGCCTCCAAAGCGAGGCAAGCATTTTGATGATTTCTCATTTTACCAGTGAGAGATCAGACTTGGCATGGTGAAATGACTTGCTTAGCATATTAATTGAGGCTGGACATCAAGAGTTCAAATCATCAGCCTCAAATCATCAACTCCTCTCTTAGCCTCACTGCCCTCATCATCTCTTGTGTCATTTCTTCCAAGTGGCTGAGGAAGAAGATTCCCCAGAGTTTGCTAACATGGTCCTGGCCGAATTAACTAATGACAGAAAGACAGAGTGGTTCTCTTGCAATATCTATAAATCAGGGAGGAACTCTGATCTTCACATGTGCCCATGGATGTCTGTTATGAAGAGAATGGGGGACTCTGATTCACCTGGCACAGGCCATGGGTCCATTCCTGTGGCCAGAGTTACCGTCTCCAAGTGACTGTCTAGGTAGTGCAGTGGTTAAAGGGCTTGACTGCTGAGAAGAAAAAATATGCCACCTTGAACCCAACCCTGGTGGTCTAATGGCAAGAAGCTGCAGTGCAATCCCAAAGGCACATGGTTCAAATCCACTAGCTTCTCAGTGGGAGAAGAAAGGGAAGTCTCCTCCTGTGCAAATCACTGCCTCTGAAAACCCACTGGACAGTTAGATACGGGTTGGTTCTGATTTGACGTCACACAAGCCACCCTACAGAGAAACATATGACACTCTGCTTCTAGAAAGATTGACAGCCTTAAAACCCCAGTGAGGAATCTGTACTCTGGCCTACTGGATTGCTATGAGTCAGAATTAACTTGAGAGCAATAGCATTGACTTTGGGCTTGGAATGACAGGCTGGAGACAGCGTCATCAACTGGAAGAAGGTCACCAATGGATGCACAGGACAATGTGAAGCAAAGAGGACCACTGCTTTCATATGGCCAAGTCTTCTGAGAATAAAGCATCCTTTGAGTTGGCGTTGTCCAGCAAGTACTTTCATGTTATGTTCAGTGACTACCAGCAGCCCTAGGACCTGTGGTGTACCAGTGGTAAGAACCTGTGCTGCAATCACAAACGCACGTGGTTTGAATCTGCAGGAGAAAAATGGGAAATTTCCTCCTGTGTGATTTACTGCCTCTGAAAACCCACTGGAGGGTCAGCTGAGGGTCAGTTCCAACTCGATGATACACAACCACCACCACAGGTGTTTCTCTAGGGAGCCCTGGTGATCTAGTCATAAGAAGCTCTGCAGCAATCCCAAAGGCATATGGTTTCAATCCACCAGCGAGCGGCTCAGAGGGAGGAAGATGGGCAATCTCCTCCCCTGCAATTTACTGCCTCTGAAAACCCACTGGAGGGTCAAGTATGGGTCACTTGCAACTTGATGACACATAACAACAACCGCAGGCGTTCCCCGGATCTTATCATTCCACAGACATTGTTGTGTGACTGCGATGTGGCAGACACTGAGCTAAGTGTTAGGGGCGGAGCGATGAACACGACCGATGTGGTTCCAAAATCTCATCCAACTTTGGTTTCAGAATCTGGGAGATCACAAGGATTAGTAATCAAAGCTGTGGCTTAAAAGGCGCACAAGGGCCAACGTGCAGCTATGTCTAATCAGTCCGTCTACTTTGCTTGTCTCCCTGTGCCCCCAGGCTCTCTCCGTCGCACCCCAGCAAGCTGCAAAGGAGTGGGACTGCAGAAAGACTATGGACACGATACTTCATGAGATTCAGCAGGGGACGTTCCACAACCCCATGTCCATCGCCCAAATCCTCCCTTCTCTGAAGGGCAAGACATACCTAGATATCCCCCACATTATTTGTAGCCCTGGTAAGAACCTTTTTTTTTTTTGCTTCTGTAAATTTTATTAATATTTCATATTTATGCAAGGCAGCAGAAATTAAATTTTGTGTATCTTGATTGGTAAGATTTTGAACCCAATATTAATGAATGATTATGAAATTCTTCCATTCTCCACTGAGTTGTAATGGGGTCATTTTTATAAATCAAATGACCTTATATTAATTTTTACGGACTATTTGGTTTGATTGGTCTGTTTCTTTTTTAATGTGTACAGCCTTAATTACTATAAAATTATAATATTCCTTGGACATTTTGGCTGAAGTATTTGCTCTTTTTTATGATTGTCTTGGCTGGTCTGTATTTGGTGCATTTTTTTAATGAAAGTTTACAGAGACTTATGGTTTCCAGTCATTCATTGTTGCAAGGAAGAACTTTTTAAAATATGAGGCTCACCTTAGGTCATAAAATGTTTGCTAACCCAAAGGTCACACCTCTCCACTATTTCTAGTCCACCAGCAGCTCCATAGGAGAAAAATAGGCAACTCCTCTCATGAAATTCACATCCTTGGAAAATCTGCTTGAGGAGGAACTGTGAGTTGGTTCTGACTTAGCGATGATGAGTTTGAGTTTTTTTGGTTTTTTTGTTTGTTTTTTAAATTTATTTTATTTTCTTATTTGTGTGTGTGTACTGTCAGATTAGATCTGACTGGTACAGAAGGAGATTGTTCCTCCTTCTCCAGCAGAGCATCTGGTGGCTTTAAACCGTGCACCTCTGGGATTGCAGTGCAGCTTCTTGCCACTAGGCCACCAGAGCTCGCCGAGTCTGAGTTTTTTCATTTATGATAAAATGGGGCAACTTAAACCAAGAATTATAAGTGGAATCAATTCTAACTGGCATATAGATACGTCTTCATGACACCTATGTGGACAGAGCCATTTCTGCTTTTCAGTTCTTCAAGGTAAAGTGCCAGCCATTGTGGTCTCACAATTCAGCCCTCTTTCCTATGTCTGCTTTAACTGAGACACATTTATTGGGCAGTTATTATGGACAAAGCAATTTGTAGGAAGCTATGGTCCCAGAAATCAAATAACCTATTATTTTGTTTACTCCCTTGATAAATGTACTAAATATTATGTAGTATCATGTAATGGCTATTCTGTACAAAGTTAAAAGACAGTTATTTAGACAACAATAAATGGAAGACTTCACTCACTGCTACAGTGGCTTAGTAGTAAGGAGTTGCACTGCCAACCCAAAGGTGTGCAGTTTGAATCCACCAGCTGCTCTAAGGGAGAGACAATCTCCTCTCGTGTGACTTACTGCCTCTGAAAATCTGCTGGAGGGTCAGCTATAAGTTGGATCTAACTCTACAAGACGTAAAAACAATAACAAATGGAAAGCCCTGGCAGGGCAAAGGCAAAGGACCATCTGGGAGGCTTGAGAGGAGAGCAGAACTGACACTTAAGCCAAGTCTTAAGGATCTAAACCTCCAGGCTTAGTGCTCACAAAACACCAAAGGGATGAGGTGAAAACTTAGTGTGCTGCAAAAGCTTGAAATACCTTTACCAGATCATAAATATAATACAGAAATACACAAAATTCAAACATTGCAGAAATACACTGTTAGTGGAACCTAGTATAAAAACACGTCTTGTAAACGGCTCTTTCTCAATCTCAATCTTGGAAAAGTGCAAGCTGGACTTTGCTTTCACATGGGAAGAATCCTCAGTGACAGCTAGCTGGTAGTGGGTATGAATCCTCCAATTCTTCCTAACAAAATACACAGTTCTGTTCTATAGGAGCACTGTGGCCTAGTACATAAGGAGTGGTGCTGTTAACCCAAAGGTCATGCTTCTCTGTGGTTCAAATCCACTGGTAGCTTCAAGGAAGAAAAATAAGCAATTTCCGCTTTGAGATTTACAGCCTCAGAAACCAGCTGGAGGGTCAGTTATGAGTCAACCCTGACTTGATGACAATGAGTGAGTGAATGAGAGAGAAAGTGCTCATGGGCTTTTAAAGATAGGCAGACATTACTAACTGCAATGTCTATCAATGCAGAATTTAGAAAGCAAAATCAACACCTGATCCTAGTTATATGCAAAACACTAGTGCATTCAAATAGCTTCTGGAGCTGCTTCCCAATGATTTAACAACTTTAACAAACTGGCCATGGAGTTATTTCCAGAATTGTACACTCGCCGTACTGGTACTTCCTTGTTGTTGTTGTTGTTAAGAGCTGTCAAGTCCACAAGGACTCATAGTGACCCTATGAACAACAGATCTGAACCATGTCCTCCCCTGTGCCAGCCTCATTATCTCTGCTGTGTAGACTCGAGTCCATTGGTCACCGTGTCAGTCCCCGTTGTTGAAGGTCTCCCTCTCTTTCTCTAACCCTCCCTCCACCTTTCCCAGCATGGTGTCTTTTGCCCAGCACTGCCCCTCCAGACAAACATGCCCCAAATATGTGAGAGATTTCACCATACTGGCCTCTAAGGAGCGCTGTGCTTACAGTTCCTCCAAGACAGATTTGCCTGTTCTTTTGACAGACTTGGACTTTCTTAAGCGGCCTCCAAGTCTCCTCCCTTTAATGCCAAATTCACTAAAGGTGAAGATGAAATAGCTATAGCAACTGAATAGCAAGTGTGTAAAATACAAGACTTAGGGCTTTCAAGCCTCTCTTCAGGTTATAAACCCTCCTGAAAATAATCATTGTATTAGCTTTTCAGAGTCCCTGGACTGGAAACAACGGCTTCACAGATGATACTAGTAAAAATCCAGAGTCATTTCCTGAAATGTTTTCCAGGATGAGTTGGCAAGAACAAATTTTCATGCCCGCAATATAAATGCTGTCATCTTTGACAGTTGGAGGAACTCTGGTGGCAGAGTGGACTGACTGCTCGCTGAAAGGTCAGTGCTTTGCAGTCACTGAAGCTCAGTGGAGAAGGATGAGGTGGCATGCTTCTATAATGAGTCACAGCGTTGGAAACCCCGTGGAGCAGTCTTGTCCTATCCAATGGAGTCACTATGAGTTGAACTTAACTCTGCTGCAATGGGTTTTCATCTTTGAAACCACAGCCTAACAGTTTGTCCTCCTGCGATGAATTGACTGTTGACATCATTCTAGATTCTATACCATCCTCCTATCAAACACTTGAGGGCTACTCACGGTTTCAGCAGAGCTCCCAGACTAAGAAAGATTTGGAAGAAAGGAATGGCGACTCTTTCCCATGGCCCACTAAGAAAACAAATAGGTCTGTCTTGGAGAGGGAGAAACCACAGTGCTTCTTGGAGGCTAGGATTTGGAAGCTCTGTCTCACATACTTCAGGCACATGGCCAGGAGGGACCTGTCCTTGGAAAAGGACAACATGCTCAGAAGGGTGAGGGACAGCACAGGAGAGGAAGACTCCAGATGAGATAGATTAACACAGTAACTGGGGTGATGAGGGTAGGTGTGTCAGAGTCAGTGAGACTGGCTCAGGGCAGGGTCACTATGCGTAGCAGGTGACTCGATGGCACATATAATGACAACAACCTAGCACAGGCAGATGAGCTCCCACTCTTGGAAAGCACACAGAGGCCACAATAGACTTGAGCATATCAACCATCATGAAGATGGTACAGGACTGGACAACATTTTCTTCTGGGTCCTCTAGGGCTCAGAGTTGACTCAATGGCAACTAACAATAATTGTTGGCAAACCTGGTCTCTTTCCCCTTCACAGATCAAGAGGTGCAACCGACTCTTCCCAGCCATCCTAGCCCTGCTCCCACCTCAGCATCCAACATCACTGTCATATACACCATAAACAACCAGCTGAGAGGTGTGGAGCTGCTCTTCAACGTGACCATCGACGTTAGCGTGAGGAAGGGGTCGGTGCTCCTCGTTGTCCTCGAAGAAGCCCAGCGCAAAAGCTCCATGTTCAAGTAAGTCGAACACGCAGCGTGATTTCAGCTGATCTTTCAAGCATTTTGAGTGCCCTTGCTCCTTTGCCTTTAACCTCATGTTGCCTGATTTAAAGCAAGATGTGAGACATCTCTGGTTTTGTTCTTACAGATTTAGCACCACAATGACATCCTGGGGCCTCATCGTCTCTTCCATCAATGATATCGCAGAAAATGTTAATCACAAGACATACTGGCAGTTCCTAAGTGGCAAAACACCTTTGAATGAAGGTCAGAGAAAAAAATAATCTGAGCATTTCTTACATAGTTAAGAGACCTCTTTCTTCATTGTTGTTGTTGTTGTTGTTGTTAAGTGACCCTATGAATGAAAGACCTGAACACTTGTACAACTTTCATCATTTCTTCAAGTTCATAGGGTTTTCAGAGGCAGTGCATGCAGTGCAGAACTGTTCCATAGCGTCCACGGCATGGTCTGTAGGGAGCTGCACTGTTCACTCAAAGGTTGGGTCTTTCTGGTGGCTGTAACCCAATAGTGGCTCCTCAAAGGAAAGACAAACTATCTGCTCCTGAGAAATTTGAGGCTTCAGAAATCCAAGGGAAGGTCAGTAATGAGTAGGTTCCAACCCGATGCCAATAAGTTATTGAGGATCTCTGGTGGCCTATTGGCAAGAAGCTGCACTATAATCCCAGAGACCTCTAACATATGTATATAAAACATGCTTGATATGAGCTCTGGTGGCTGAGGGTTAAGGCGTTGCACTGCCAACCCAAAAGCAGGCAGTTCAAATCCGCCATATACTCTGGAGGAGAAAGATGGGTAATCTCCTCTTAACACAATTTATTGCCCCTCAAAACTTGGCTGGAGGTTCCAAGCCATGAGTGAGAGCCAACTCAATGACACACAACAACATCGTCACCATCTATCTGACCTGCCTGGAAAGGCAAGAACTTTCAATCCCCTGCCTTTCCTTACAAAAAAAAAAATCTTCAACAATGAATGTAAGTTCCTCCCTTGCATAATTTAATTTTGACCTGAAAGAGCCATTTTCAATAGTAACCAGATTTCTTGCACATGTATTATGTGTCAATACTGTACTAGGATTCTGACAGTGGTTATATCTAATCTTGAAAGTATTTCCTCAGAGTAAATATATTCGACATATTTTATTAATAAGGGAATAGAGGGGAAAGTAGATTTACACACAATTTACACGACTTACCCAGAAAGACACTAGACAAAATGGTGAGCTAGACTAAAATCAATAGCCCTGAATATAAATTCCATGCTTTTCTGACACTTGTCACGCTGCATATTTCACTCTTGGGTAGTGTTACACCTCAGGAAACAGAACTGGCTGATCCTATCGCAGAAAGGGTGGATACCATGGTCAACTTGTGTGATTTTTCTGCTTCCTCCAGGTGTTGCTGACTACAGACCCTTCGACCAGGAGCACATCACAGCCAATTTCACACAATACTAAGGACAGGTGGGTCCAGGCTCCACTCAACCGCTCCCACTGATAGGTGGAAATTTTTTAAAATTTTATGTTAAACTGGTGAAAAATAAAATACTAATGATGCTACTCTATTTGTTTGTTTAAAAATGGAGGAATCATTACATAGAATAAAAGATGCATACTTTTCCTGGCATCTCAACAGTGGTGACACATGGTGACAAATATTCAGCTTCTCAAGGTCTGATGAGCTACGTACTAGGAACAATACTCCAAGCCATCATTTAAACCTATGGCGAAGGGAACCGCAAGGTAATTTTTTTAAATTCACTCAAGGACTGCAGCCTCCAATATGGATTGAGGCTCAATGTTAAGAAGACAAAGATTCTCACCACTGGACCAATTGCAGCATCGGGATGGATGGTGAAGAGATTGAGATTGTACAGCTTTAGTTTGCTTGACTCCACAGTCAACACTCTTGGCACCAGTAGCCAGGAAATTAAAAGGCGCATTGCCATGGCAAAATCTGCTGTTAGGGACCTCTCCAGGGTATTGAAGAGCAATGGTGTCTCTCTGGAGACTAAGGTGCATCTGATACAGGCCATGGTCTTTGCAATCACTTGTTATGCATCAGAGAGTTGGACAATGACCAAGGAAGATAGAAGGAGAATTGATGCCTTTGAGCTGTGGTGCTGGAGAAGCGTATTGAGAATACCATGGGCTGCTAGGAAAACAAACAGATTCGTCCTGGAAAGGGTTAAACCGGGTGGCTCCATGGAGGCAAGGATTCTGAGGCTCTGTCTAACATACTTTGGACATGTAAGGAGAGACCGGTCCTTGGAAAAGGACATTATACTTGGGAGGGTGGAGGGACAGCACAGGAGGGGAAAGCCCTCTATGAGGTGAACTGATTCAGTGACTGGGGTAATCAGGATGGGAGTGTCAGAGACAGTGCGATTGGCACAGGACAGAGCAAAGTTTAAGGCTGTTGTACATAGCGTCGCTATGAGTCGCAAGCGACTCGACGGCATATAACAACAACAACTAGTCTTCTTGATTGGTTAACCAGCATATTCTTTCACTTCCACAATCCAAATAATGTTGCTGAAAAATCTATTTTTGTTTCTTATGTTAAATGTCTTTCAAATAACTTATTCTAAATGTATATACATAGACAGAAAGCGATGCTACCAAGCCAAAGGTGGGTGACATTTAATCCACAGCCCTCGGCCTGCCTTTCATTGTTTTTGTTTAGACATTCCTCTAGGTGTATAGCCCTGGTGTACAAGTTGCCGTACAGCGGTAACTTGTGGTTGCTGTGAGGCTGAACACTGGGACACTGATGTGTGTCAAATGTGTTAATGGCTGGTTACCCAATGCGGACAGAGAGTGGGGTGGAGCTCCCTGATTAAAACAAGCTTGGAAGGAGGAGTGGCATCCACTTCCATAATAGCTTGCCTCCGGAAACCCTATGAACCTGGAGAGAGGATGAAAGGCACCCAAGTGTTGAGGACTCTCCTTCATAGGGTCACTATGAGTCACCTGCGACTTGACGGCACTTAACAAAAACAACACATAGTATATGTATATTTGTATTTTTTTTCCTTCAATTTTTACTGTCTGTGCTGGGTTAAATCAAGTTAAATAGATATAGAGACATACTTGCTCTTTAAGACTTTTGAGAGGTCTCTGAGAGCAGAATTTTCCAGTGCAATATGGTGTGGTTTTGTTGTGTGCTTTCTTTTTATTTCTTGATTGCTGGTACCATGGGTGTTGATTTTGGATCCAAGTAAAATGAATTCATTGACAATTTCAATCTTTTCTCCATCTATCATGGTGTTGCTTATTGGTCCAGTGGTTAGGATTTTTGTTAACTTGATACTGAGATGTAACCCATCTTGAAGGCTGTAGTCTTTGATCTTCTTTAGTCAGTGCTTCAAGTCCTCTTCACTTTCTGCAAGCTAAGTTGTGTCATCTGCATGATACAGATTGTTGATGAGTCTTCCTCCAATCCTAATGTCACAGTTTTCTTCATATAGTCCAGCTTCTCAAATTATTGGCTCAGCATACAGATTGAATAGGATTATGGAAAACGTTGTATTCAATTTATATGCTGACTCAGAAGAAGCTATGGAACAAGAGATATCATTGCTGATGTCAGATTAATCTTGGTTGAAACCAGAGAAAACCAGAATCATGCTTGCTTATGTTTTATTGATTACACAAAAGCATTTGGATTATAACAAATTAGGGATAATACCTTGGGTATGTGGTTAGGAAGGCCCGGTCTTTGGAGAAGGACATCATGCTCATCAGGGTAGAGGGACAGCACAGGAGAAGAAGACCCCAGATGAGAGGGAATTGACATAATAGCTGTGGTAATGAGGGTAGGTATGTCAGAGTCAGTGAGATTAGATCAGGATAGGGCAGGCTTCAGAGCGGCTGTACATAAGGTTGTTATGAGCTGTAGGTGACTCAATAGTACATAATAACAAACAACAACTGAGAAATATGGGAATCCCAGAACACTTAATTGTTGTGCTCGTGAGAAAACTATGAACACATACACCAAGAAGCAGCTGTCTGAACAGACGAGAAAACATTGTATGGTTTAAAATTAGGAAAGGTGTGGGTCAGGATTGTATCCACCCTCCATAGCTTTTCATCCTATCAGCTGCGTAAATCTTACAAGAAGATAAACTACATGAAGAAAAATGTACCATCAGGATTAGAGGAAGACTCATCCACCTGCATGATCATGTAGCAGTAACTGCCTCCATACAGACAGGTCTCCAGAGTGACACCGTTGTTCTTCAGTACCCTGGAGAGGTCCCTAATAGCAGACTTTCCCATCGCAATACGTTTTTTTATTTCCTGGCTACTGGTGCCAAGAGTGTTGACCGTGGGGCCAAGCAGACTAAAGTTGTTAACAATCTCAATCTCTTCACTATCCATCCTGATGCTGCCAGTTGGTCCAGTGGTGAGAATCTTTGTCTTCTTGACATTGAGCTTCAATCCATACTGAAGGCTGCAGTCCTTGACCCTCTGCAGCAAGCATTTCCAGTCCTTCTCAGTTTCAGCAATAAGGGTTGTCTCATCTGCATAATGCAGATTGTTAATAGATCTTCCACCAATCCTGACCCCACATTTCTCCTCATAGAGCCCAGCCTCTCAGATAATCTGTTCTGCATACAGGTTGAAAAGGTATGGAGATAGGACGCATCCCTGGCGTACACCTTCCCAATTTTGAACCAAACTTTGTTTCCTTGCTCTGTTCTGACGACTGTCTCTTGGTCCAAGTATAGGTTTCGCATTAGAACAATCAAGTGTTCTGGGATTCCCATTCTTCTCAGAGACAGCCACAGTTTGTTATGATCATTTAAGGAGGTTATTTTGACTTTTTCTCCTACTCTTTCCCTTGATCAACCTCTGTACACATTCCACATTTTTCATGTTATCCATAATTTGTTATAATCCACACAGTCAAATATTTTTGCATAGTCAACAACAACAAAAAAACCAAAACAGGTAGAAGTGTAAGTGTGTGTGTGTGTGTGTGTGTGTGTGTGTGTGTGTTCTCTGCTTTCAGGTAAGGTCCATCTGTAGTTCTGTTTTTTCTATATTCTAAGTTTTCTTATACTAAGACCATAATAACTCAGCAAACAAGGAAAAACATTCTTTTAAATAAAGATGATTTTTCCTTGATTAATAGTAAATTTAACAGCCAAAAAAGGAACAGATGTAGATGAGAGAGTCTGGCCCAACTCTTGCTCTAACAGTGAAGAATGGGGCATCACACTCTGGCGTCCAATACAAAGCCCTTAATTTAGGTAACTGTTATTTCTCTACATGTATGCACGTCTGTTTCTATTAGAAGCAGCAAGAGTGAGACTGACATTAGATCTGTTGTAAACCATACTTTTGCTTTCAGTTGGTACCTTAATAAGAGATATTTTTGTTGGTAGGCATGATAGAAATAAATGCCACTGGCATAAATATAGGAAAGTGAGGAAATAACATTAATTAACCAGATCATCTCTAAGTACTTAAATGCAGGTAGTCACATAAATTTCATTAGGAAAATAATCCTACTTCCAAAGTATTTAGACTTTATTTTAAAATATGTTTCCAAATACATATTTTTACTTGTTTTCCACTAATAACTATCTCACCACAAAGATGTCTACTTAGGGGCTGTTCAGCATTGTAAGGATTTCCTAAGCTTCGTTCCTCCTGATTCCAACCTTTGGTTATTCATGGCTCTTAGTGGGGGGGCTTTGGGTTCTAGGCCACTAGTGACTCTGCAAGCAAAAGATGGGGGAAATTGGGGCCCTTATTCATACAGCTGGGAGCTTCGGGAGCACAGCCCATAGGAAAGTGCACTACTTACATCTTAACATCCCCGGTGGTTCTAATTCACCAACGGCTCCATAAGCAAAAGATGGGCAATCTCATCCCATTGCCATTTCCAGCCTCAAAAACCTGATGGAGGGTTGTAGTGAGTCCGAACCAAGTCAGCGCGCAGTAAGTATGAATATATTAACATGGCGACACAAAATTACTACAAAATGCTACAGACTAGCTGCACATACACAAAAAGACTCACCAGGGAGAAACATAGTATTACCTCTGAGGTCCTTCTCGGTGTTTTACTGCTTCCACTCTCTCACAAACAAAAGCCACGCATTACTTGTCAATATATCCCCAGCTACACACAGTTCTTGACATAAACATGCATGCCGAAGTCATGGTTTCAGAAAAGAGTCATCCCAATGGGGAAAGCAGTCACAGAAACAATGAGAAAACCACTTAGAACTTCAAATGAGAAGGCTGTTTTGTCCTCCTTCTGCATCTGCTAGTGAACAAGCTTAGTGGACTGGGCTAGTTTTTCCTTTCAAGGCCAGTTTCTTGCCTTTGAAATGACGCCATCTGCTTCTAGGCTCATCTCAAATTCCTTTTAGATCAGAAAAGTTTTATAAATTGTGTTATTCAACATACTGACAATAAGCTGATTGCACTAATGCGTT